TGTGGAAAACCGGCTTCAGACGAGGTCGAACCCAATCGAACATCTTCCAACATCAGCTAATATTACTCAACATTCTAATATTGAAGCGGGGGGCACAATGTCAGTGCATATCTAGCAATTAATGTTAGTGGATCTTGGACAAACATGTTGGCCCCGTTTGAACGTGTTGGCAGATACTAGAACACGGAAGATGTTAGATCCGCTAAATTGACTTTGTTGAATTTCTTCAAACATTGTATGGCAACACTCTTGACGATTACGCCGGCGTAATCATTCAAGCATTTGACGATTGTATGCGCGGTCGCGTCGGATTATTGAACACGTTTTCTTTCCTCCGATTTCAAGCGATCGATGTACGATGACAATGTACTCAGGTGACGACGATAACAGCCAGCTCCGGTGTGAGAGAGATACAACTATACCTGAAAAATACAAGAAGAACTTCGACGTTTCCAGCAAAGGCCATTCATCGGGAAGGCCATCCTTCGTTCACGAAAGGCCTTCGCTCGAAGCGTCGAAGTGCTGCATATATTTTTCAGGTATAATTGTATCTCTCACACAACGCAGCTGTCTCCCACACGAAAATAATCACTTAAATAAGAATACGGTATTTTTTCAAACTTACATAAAAACTTGTATCCCCAGAAAGTTTATTCTTCGCTCAAATATGCAGCATTATCCCGCTAATTATTATTTTCGAGTTCTTTTCACTACAGCTCTATACTGATCGGAATTTGCGACAACTGAAGTTAAACTGACAACATCCACATCTTTCAATGACACTCATGCATGATATATTCAAATTTTATGTATATTTTGACTTTTGAATAAATTCCAAACAATGTTATCAGTTGTTGATGATTATTACAGTTTGAACCTGTTTTGAATTTCTGCTTTCTCTGCAGTCGCAAAAAGGGAAATTAAATAGATACAATATCATACAAAGTGGTATGTATCATCGTGTTCAAATTAATACAAGGCCCAAAATTGAAGGGGTTTTTTTATGATTATTCTCACCACTAGCAACCTTCCACGCACCAAGTCACTCAGGCCTATTTCAAACGTCGCGCTTCTCATGTGCCGAACGCATTAGAAACAATAGATAATGAGGCGTTTCAGATGATTATCCATTGTTTTTAATGCGTTCGGCACATGAGGTGTAATTTTAATGTATTTAAGTTTGTAAAATGTTACAATTTTGCAAGAAGTCCGGCCCATCTGATAATATTTCTTAATGTAAGAATCAATATGATTTTTCCATGTTAAACCTTCGTCAATCAATACAGCAAAAAAATTTGTATATGAAGCGTTTTGTTTCATTTTTTATCCGTTTAGTATATTAGTATTCAGATATTTATATAATGAGACAGCATCTGTTGTATAGTCGTATTTGTAGCTATTCAAAACACTTTTAGTCGTGTTTTATCACATTTAAAATGCTCGTGCTGCGCACTCGCATTGTTAATATGATAAAACACTTCTACGCGTGTTTTAAATAATACACATATACTTTCTTTTTCCAACTTTAGAAAGAAACTCAAAAATTTTTAATTAAAGATTAAATGCATGGCCCAATGTGGGGACAACATGCATAGAGCTGTACGTCCGTTTGCAACGAAATTCTTGAATACTTGCCTGCATTCCTCAGTCTAAAAAACGACTCATCGTATGAGTTCATTGGCCAAGTAATTTTGAAAATAAACCTTGTCTAAGCGGAGAAAATCAAAGCTGAAATTTATGTAAATCAGGACAGATCTTTATCCGAGTTTACAAACATTGATTAAACATTCATTTCTTTTGAATTTTCTTCATGAATTATTAGTGAGTTTTTTAAGGTTTATACATGCATGTGCAAGAACACCTTTTTTGGCGTTTTGCGGAAAATCGCTACTGCGCGCTCAATATCAGTCCGATTTTCATCACATTTTCACCAAATGTTCTCCAGTGCATGCAAAATATGGTAAAGTTGTAAAATTAACAAACAATAAAATAATGTAAGAATTATTCAGGAAAATCTTAATTCGCGGTACCGTTACGCTTTTGAGTTATGCTCCTGCTGGTTTTAAGTTATATTTATGAAAATATCATTTTTATACAGTAAAATAGTTGTTCTAAAAAATTGTGTTCGGAAATTTTTGTTTATTTCGTCATTCCGCTGATATGGCGATTTCTTTGACGACTGCAATATATTTCTGAATTGTTTGAGTGAATTGCTCTTTATTTTTAAAATATCCAAAATTACGAAAAAGCCGAACACAATTTTGAAACCGACGTCTTTAGCTATGCCCTGTGAAAATTTGAGTAAAATTGGTTAAAACCCGCAGGAGCACAACTCGTTTGAAAATCAGTAATTACCGTAAACTTTTTCGGGAGAAAATTGAATTTGAATATTAAATTTTCAATGTTTTTCTTATTGCAGCGAAATGTATTTTATTAAATAACTTCGCGAGTTTTTAACATTGTTCGTTCAAATTTGGTCAAGTAGTAGAACTAGTCTAATGCTTTCATGGAAACCAATAAAAAATTTTTGGGCAAAATTAACACTCAAAGGTGGTCTGTAACCTTAATTGTTATTAAAGACTTAATGACAGAAATTTTGATAGTGTGAAGCGTGCCTTCAAGTTCAGAAAATATCTCTATATTTTCAGCAAATTGTCCCTTCAGTAAAATGTCTTTTCGACAAAATGTCCGTCGGTAAAATATTTTTCGGCTTATTGTATGCAGACACTCAGTCTCACTGACAACTGCACCAGCTAGTGCAGGCTCCCGCGTGGTAAACAAATAGCGCTATTTAATCGGCCCTATCTGAGCGAAAAGACAAATAATACTCGTGCCAGCAAGATCGAAAACCGTCTTTGAGATAAGCTAATTTATACAGATCGAGATCTCGCTTGTTCGGCAGGCTTAACCGGCTTCCCAGCGGGCAAAATGACGTTTATCCAACGTTGAATCAACGTTGGAAATGACCTTCCAGACGTTGTATAGACGTTGAAAAAGGGTTGACTATGCAACAATTTGCATAGTCAACCCTTTTGACGTTACTGTTTCGACGTTGAAACAACGTTGAAATTAGGTTGGCAATCTCGTCAACCATAATTCAACGTTGAATCCACGTTAAAACAACGTTGAGATTGGTTTACAAATCGACGTCGTACATTAATTAACCATGAATGAACGTTAATTCAACGTCTGTTGGCTGCTGTTGAACCAATATTTGTAAAACAACGTCAGAGCAACGTAGATATTAGGTTGTCGACGTCGCAACCTTTTTTATACCAAATTTCAACGTTGAAACAACGTCATGTGCCCGGTGGGTTAAGACTTAACCAGAAACAGCTGCAAAAAAATGCAACTACAGGTCTCTGGCAGGAATTGAACCTGCGGACCTGCGATTCTGGAGCAGCGCTCTAACCAACTGAACTACAGAGTCCAGCACTAACCACAAGTTCATATATGCTAGGGTACTGCGGCTATTGCCACGCTAAGGTATGGGTAAACATCAAGATTTTGTTGGTATCTCACTCGATTGAATACAGTAGTTGGAGTCCAGTTGGTCTCTGTTTGTTAGAGCGCTTCTTCGGAATTACAGGGCCGCAGGTTCGAATTCGATTCCTGCCAGGGACCTGTAGTTTTCGGAGCTGTTCCTGTTTAGGTATAATAAATCTATACAGTATAAAACTACCACACGATAATTTCCACCTACAATTCCCTCCAAGTATTATTCAATCGAGTGAGATGCCAACAAAATCTTGATATTTGCAAAAAACAATCAGTTTTCCGCAAATAGGAAAACTAATTATGCGAATCTGACCATTTATCCAGGTGTCGACCTGGGAAAATTAAATTTCAAACATTTGGCCGGGGTCACAAAGCACCCATTTTCCGCACTTACGAGCCAGACAAATGGTCGAGCCAGTGATATCTAAAGGCCGTTAACGTTTTCCACTATGCGGAATTTTCCGCGCGGAGCGGAATTTTTCTTTGTCTTGTGATTTCTTGGGTGGAACTAACTACAAAAGACAAAGTGAAATTCCGCTGCGCGCGGAAAATTCCGCCTAGTGGAAAACGGCCTTAACAACTAGTAACAAGTATATAATTCAATCTAAATTATTCATAACTATTAAATCTTGGAGTCATGAATTTTCTAAGTCACTTAGCAAATTCCTTAAAACTTATATACATTATACACATGCGCACTTTAAACAAAATTAATGTCCCAATCCTGCCTCGTACCCAGGCGTCTCTTTGTAAAAAAACAGTGATGCGCATATGACGAGTTTACATGAAGTATTCTAGTGGGGAAGCGCGTCGCCTGCCTGCCTGCCTGAATACTTCATATATTATAATTATTTAAAGCGCCTGGGTACGAGGCAGGTCCCAAGGGTATACGTGAAGGGTATACGAATAAACGAAGAAAAGTATTAAATTTATTAAACATGCGATCCGCTAGCGAATAAAGACCCCCATCGGTCCATATTCGCTAGCGGATATGGACTCCCCGGTCCAAATTCGCTGGCGGATTTGGACTGGGGGGTCCATTTTGAAGGGGTCCAAATCTGCTGGGACACCGGTAAATTAACTTCAATTTATTCAAATTTCTGAAGCGTGCGAATAATTAATGGGGCCGAGGGGAGTGAGTTTTGCGTATCGACCTCTGTACCCAGATGCTTATCCAGTGTCTGCAAGTGTATTTTTCTCTGAGTTTACTAACCCATTTTCCTTTGCGCGCTCGTCCTTAATTAGTTGCGAGCGTGCGTCTTTATCGCGCTTGCAGTGCACGCGCTGATCTATGTATTACCAGGGCGCTATAGCGCCCTGGTATTACTGATATTTAAATTTGATCAATATACTGGAGCCTGCGGAATTTCCGCCTCGACCTGCCTCCTCCGCAGGCGTGGAATCTCCCTTAGGCGAACCAGCTCGCGGTTCCAATAGGCATAGTAAACACAAAATGTATAACAAAGGCGGGATCTCACCTAAACCGGGCCAGCTCGGGTACCCGGGCTGGCTCGCATCATTGAAATAGCCCCAGCACAGATCAGTGATATCTTACTTACTGTTCATATTAACACGGCCGGCAGAAAATTTTCCCCTGGGGAAGATCATTTGATAATTATAGCTGGCCTGGCCCAGCCACGGCTTATGTGTTTTTATGCATAGTATCAAATTACATACCATGTGTTTATTAAAATAAGGTCTTTATACTCATACAAATATTGCTTCACAGTTCATACTTGTGTCTGAAATAAAAAAAAAACAGCCACTAGTAACAAGACATGGACGGTTTGCTGGATACCATATCCATCATGTTACCAAGACGTTTAAACTGGGAAGAATTTTATGTAAGTATAAAATTGTGTGATACCATATCAACTAATTCGTCGCAATATCGACACAGTTCATCACCGATTATATATTTGATTGATTTTGCCTGCGTTTGTTGTACCTAGAATATTGATTTAAAATATATTATCATCCTTCTTATTATGTGACCTTATTTGTAATGAATTTTACTTCGTACTGGACTGAAGAGGCCAGTTTTTACCTCATGAAATTTGCCATATAGCCAAAAGATTGCCTGCTGATACTGTTTGTATGTTTACAGTATCTCGCTAAGCTTTGCACGACATTGTTATTGTCTCTACGCCTTGTATAGTATAGTTTATTCACAAAGTAGGATTTGTAAAAACTTACACATCGGCAAAGTTCACCCAAGGGTAGTATTTGATTACATTGGTATAAAAAATAGGGCATATATCATTACCTTCCTTAGTGACTCGGTATCATTGTCGGTAATTGTACACCACCCAAACACTACATAATATTTGCGACAGACGAAGTGCATATTACTTGGTATCAGCATCATGTATTTTGTTTTTCAGCTGAGATCTGTGTATGTATACTTGCTTTTGCAAAGGAAAGTGCGACGAATGTGCAGAGGACTAGAGCACTGGCAAGTGAGTCACATATTAAAGCATATAGTTTGTCAATAAATGATGGTTGGAAGCCCGGCGTATAAGACCATCGATAGTTTGTTTGATGTTGAACTGTATCTCACCGAGCATATAAACTCTTTGTTTCAACTTCATTAAGTAGTTATTAATCGTGGTTGCACGTTTCAACCCGACTATTAAATACAATGAGCTCAATCGCCGTGACCGTGTACAAATTAACATAAACTCAGACAGAAACATAAGTACATAACACGATCACTTCTGGTTTAGTTTCCAAACCATCATATCTTGGTTGAATAGCGATGTATATTAGAACTGTCTCGTTCTGAAAAAACCGCCTTTATTTTTGTCAGACCGAGGCAGTTCTATTTTTACTTTCTACACTGTGCTTTAATGTTCTTTAAAAAAATCATTAATAATTCACGAGGAAAATACAGAAGAAATGAATGTTTAATCAATGTTTGTACATCGGATAAAGATTTGTCCTGATTTATAAACTTCAGCTTTGATTTTCTCGGCTTAGACAATGTTTATTTTTAAAATTACTTCGCCAATCGGCTGCTCATGTTTTATCTAGTACATATAGTGCTAAAATAGGCCCTTACGAGGTTTAATAAGGACGCCATCTTGAATATATTGTTTTCATCATCATGTTTGCACCCCTTGCTAATTTTTGCACTATTTTGTTTCATTATGGCGTCGTTAATCTTGGAAGGGTCTATTGAGATTGAACCAATTCCTGTCCACTTGAATCTTTTTTCAAAATCCTTACTGTGAAAATAGTATATGGATCTTCATAGTATGGAAATCCATTTTTCATACTACTGTAATTGCAATTTCCATACTATGGATATAGCATGGAAATAATATGGATATACTATGGATTGTAGAATGCAATGTTTTGTAATGCATACAAAGACTGCATTTGCAAGAGATCGGAAGATTTCGACGATTCAGAATGTTCGCATGGGTATTGTCCCATGCGAAATCAAAAGGCGAAAGGTTGCAAATTTCGTACGGTCCCTATTCTGACTATTCTCCCAGTCACGACGTGAACAGTGCCATAGTTTCACAACATTTGAACATCTCCTTTGCCAAACCTACTGTACACCGGTTGTATCTGATTATTCCCAAAATATTTTTCTGATAAAAACCGGCCCGATCTATAAATGGCGTAATGTGACCAAGGAATGCGTTCAAACTAGTCAACATGGTCTCAATTTGAACGAGGCTTGGTTGGCAGACTTTGGACTAAACTACTAAAAGTAGACATTACAAAGCTCAAAAGTCAAAGGTTAATACACTCAGGTATTTGCAATATTCTTATTGACTATTGAGGTGATTATGTTCATGTATACCTTGGGGAAAACCCATTTAAGTGGAAAGAGATTTCTATCGTCTCTACTGTTGGTTCTTTGCATACACGTGACGCGTTCCATGGTGTTTGTGCGCATTTTATAGTATGGTTTACAGTAGTTGAATCTCCCCTTAATTTAAGAGCACCTCTGTAATATGATCTTATATGCACACTTTTCGAAATACGGATGTCTCCCTATTACCGACACCTCTCTATTATGGACATCTCTCTGATACAGACATTTGACTAATGCAGATTTCTCATTATTACGGACACCTCTCAGATACATGTGTCATGTATTTCTCTATTACGGACACCTCTCTAATACAGACATCTCTCTGTTACGGACACCTCTCTGATACAGGCATTTCTCTGTTACGAATAATATTTTGATTTTTAAAAATCAAAATGTTATTCGGAGTTACTGTTATTTTGTATTCTCTGTTTATACGGACACCTTTCTAGTACAGACACCTCGCTGTTACGTTCATCTCTGTAATACGGACACCTCTCTAATACAGACATCTCTTTATTATGGACAACTCTCTAATACAGACATTTCTCTATTACAGACATCTCTCTAATATAAACACCTCTTTATTACGTATCTCTTCTGACTCTAATACGGACATCTCTCTAATACAGACATCTCTTTATTATGGACATCTCTCTAATACAGACATCTCTTTATTATGGACACCTCTCTATTACGGACATTTCTCTATTACGGACACCTCTCTATTACGGACATCTCTCTAATATAAACATCTCTATTACGTATCTCTTCTGACTCTAATACGGACATATCTCTAATACAGACATCTCCCTCACTAAACAGACACCTCTCTAGTACGGACAGTTTCCATGTCCTGTCAAAATTTGCACATATTTTCTTCACAAAAAAAACTTATCTCAAATACGGACAACTGGACACTAAATCTCAGCTGCAAAAAGCAAATAGTTTACGTACAAGTTTTAACCTCATGGGCATTATAATGACACTCCAGTCATCAATTGATGGTAGTTTGTGTCCCTTCGTTGCAGTGGCGTAGGAAGATATTTTATGTTGGATGGTCTGAAATTTGCGGAGAGCACTATTAAATTTAAAACTATGGGGTACGGAGGCATGCTCCCTGGAAAATTTTAATAATCCAGGCTCGGAAATGCCATTCGTTTTTTGTTAGTTTGAATACTTACTGAGGGATTCAATGAGTTAGCCTATAATAGCCGGCAAATGAAGCATAATTGAACTCGAGAGTTAACTGAAGTACTTGTGGATGGAAAAGAGCTCACAGTACTAAAACGAAAAAGGACTACATACCAAATACCATTTTTTTCCATAATTTCTAATATCTATGTGCATATATTGTAATACATGACTTATACAGGAAATCATTGCACTTTATCTATATTTTGGGGCTAAGCCCCTTGTGCAAAATTTTAAGGGAGCCCAAGCACCCCATAGCCCCCTGGTTCATATTCCAACTGCTTCTTTGTCCATATTCATGACTGAAATCATGAGATTCGACCATACTATGATCTTATTTTAGATTGTAACGAACACAGCTCTATGTATGTTGGGTCTTTGGTTGTGTGTTGAAGTTCTAAGGCGGATATTTTCGTGGTTGTTTATGCAAGATGAAGGTAAAATGACACAATGCTTATTAGTATATTTGCTCTTTTGTGGACGTGTTGATTTATTCTCAGGTTTTATAATGTTTAGGCATAGTTTTAAGATCGAAAAAGACCTTTTTCAAGATTGTAAGGATTCTACCATTTTTAAAGGACAAGGTTTGGATATAATTTATGTAAAAATATAACGTAAAGCTACCGACGAGTAACGACAGTGGCGTACCTCACTTTGGACTAAGCGGCACCCGGCTTAAACGGAAAAACCAATACCAGTTGACAATTGAAAGAGCCTGGGTACGAGGTTGTGATGAATATGTTCCGCTTTTTTGTTATTATGTCAGGACCGTTATCTTCTTTACGGCAAGAACCTGCATTATAAAAACACTCTGATTTTCTGGTTAACCTAGAAATAATCATATATTCCTGGTAAATTTCTTGGGTATTTTAACCTTTTAGACCAGGACTTCCTAGTTAAATCAACTATGTTAAGGGTGCTTAGATAACGTCTGTAGGGCCGCCCAGATGGGGGAGGGGGGGGGGGCAAACGGGGCAATTTTCCCCGGGCCCGCAGTTAAAGGGGCCCCAAAATTTGCAAAAGGGGCCCCCGAAAGGTGTAAGTAAAAATAAAATTATTTGGAACGTTTTTTATATAAGTCATGGTATGAGAGAAATCTTTTAGACCTTACTTTTACTGGTATTGGTCCGAAAAAAATGTGTTTTAGCCGTGATTTTACAAGTATTTGTCCGGAAAAAATGGGGTTTTTTAACTTTTTTTGTTCGGATATGTCCGGGAAAATCCCCCCCCGCTTGCCAACATTTCTGGTAAAAAAGAGCCCCCCAATTAAAAATTTGCCCCGGGCCCCTGAATTTCTCTGTGCGGCCCTGAATCTCTGCATGGTTATACTTATATATCCACTAAGCATAGTCTAGACGTCTAGTTATTTTAAAAGGAACGTCCTGGTGAAATATAACCAGCTCCTTGGTTACACGTATATTAACCAGACTATCATGGTAGAAAGTGAGATGAAATAACCAGGACATTTTAACCAATGTGGTTTTAAAACTTGTCACAATCGCTCAAAAACTTCAACTTCTCGACCCGACTCCCAAAGGAGTAAACCCTATAAAATACGATTTACAACGGTCATTGTAGATCACAACAGAATTAAATAGCAACAAGGCAGAGATTGAAAACGAAGTTGGAAAACAAAGAAAAGGCGAAACTTATGTAACCAAGGTATAACACAATCCTTTTTGCTTTTCAAATCGTATTTTTACGCCCGTATTACACTCACACTCACACTCAATGAGTGGAGGTTCAATCTGAGCTTCTCTTGAGTGCCAATGTTGTTTTTTAATAGCTGGAGGGTGAGTAGTCACATAGTGATAGTAAGGTATGACACTAGCCCTCAAGCTATTCAAAAACAGCAACGACACTCGAGAGAAGCTCAGATTGAACTTCCGCTCATTGAGTGTGAGTGTGAGTGTGAGTGAGCTTTTAGAATACGGGCGTTAGTGTACTAAATGAAACATTGCTCACCTATCCTGCATTGATATTGTATTTCTTTTTGTAGCTTCCAAAAACTGGATTGTCTAAGGTAAACAACAAGACAGAAACCGCATGTAGCCATGCGGGTTTTAGACCAATTATTTTACATTATCTTTGAAATGCCTTTGAAACCATACATTAAAACAACTAATTCAAAAATATTTGTCAAATACACACTGGAATTGTTTTCAAAATCGTTACTATGGAAATGGTTCTGTATACTATATGCTAATAGTGCAGCCTTGAAGGGTTTTTGTAGATTGAAAATTCGAAAATTTATACATTTAATAAGACCTAACAGGAGCAGTTGTGAAAACGGTCAGTATAATCTGCAGACTGCAGACCAAGTACAAAATGCAGAATAGGTATAAATTGCAGACTGAAATTGCAGACTTGGTATAAAATGCAGACTGAGTGAAAAAAAAACGTACAAAACTACACGTTATATACACCCGTTTTCAAAATTATGCGACTTACCAAAATATAATCTAAGACTCAAATGTCAGTTTTATGTCACGAGAGTTGTGGGAACTGCTAAATATAGCAAACATAAGCAAAATTAAGACATTTTAAATCATATTTAATACTGTACCTAAAGAGTAAAGAAGAATATTGAACTAAAATGAGCTAGATACACAAACTAAAAGAAACAACAAACCATCACAAAAATAAATTTGTGTAGTGAATGACTTTTAAGTTTGAGAAAAAACAAATTGTTTATTAAACCCGCTTACGCCTGACTATAGCAGTAATATTATGATTTTGTTGTTCTTAAATTTTGCAATAATTTCCACTAAAATATCTTGAAAATCATTCTAAACCTTTTTATATAAAGCATCAAAGCTTATACATTAACATGCATCGACAATGAACCGCAAAACCCGAAGTTGTAAATAATTTGAACTCATGACAGTATGACATATTAAAATATATGTTTTTTCACAGTCTGTATTTTATACCAAGTCTGTATTAATTTCAGTCTGCAATTTATACCTATTCTGCATTTTGTACTTGGTCTGCAGTCTGCAGATTATACTCACCGGTTGTGAAAAATGCAACTGGAGGCCCTCTCGTAGGAATCTTACCTGTGCATGGTCTTGCGATTCCGGTGCAGCGCCCTAACCAACTGAGCTAGGGAGTCCAGTTGTCGAGCTCTAACCACAAGTTCGTGAAAATATACCGAGTCTATGAGGTGATGCCATGGTAAGGTATAAGTGTATATCAGATTCAGAGAGCCTATAATTCCATTTTTTGCAACTTGTTCAATCTACAAAAGCCTTTCAACTATCAGTGCTATCGAGTAAGATGTTCCAAATCCCGATTGTAATGTACTTGATGTAAGAACATCGACACTTTGTTCCCTCCCTGCGACACAACACCGATATTTACTCTTATAGTGTGGACATAATGAGTGATCCAAAAAGGATTTATTCCATAGTATTGGTTACATTGCTTTGTCCAATGGTAGGTTTTCAGTCGGAAGTCAGTTGGCTTGGTACACTTCATTTTAAGCTACAGAGTCTTAATGGTTTTTTTTTAGGATAGGTTACTTATGCATATCAACGATTATCAAAAGTTAGGTGAGTAGAGTGCTTGTACTTTTTTGTCTCCGGGGCACAGCGAGCGAGTATTCATCCTTGGCGATGACTTATCCTCACTCATGCATGGCATAATCTTCAAGATCAAGGTTGTCACATTTATTACAGACTTTACAGTGCTGCCGGATACATTTTCCTGACTACAATTGTCAACTACGAGTACTACGAAACCATGCAAGATCTTACCAAAGCCATAAATAAAGCATTTAGCAAAGTACAGAAGGGGTAACATTACGATGACCTTTAATGCTCGAACTAAAAAAGTAACAATGCATTTAAAAAATGGTTACCAGTTAGATATAACAGGAAGAATGTCGATTATTCCAGTTTTTTGGGAAAAGAAACTAAAAATTACCAAAACGACGATGAGTCCTTATGTGGCAGACTTGAATAGTGCAACGATGTAGTGGATTTCCAGACACAAAATGGAAAGCCCAGCTGATCTCATAGTTATACTGCATAGAGTACAGAAATTATTTAATAGGCGAAATATTACCTGCGCCCAAAGGAACGATATAAAGATAAAAGGAAACGTGTTTGCCAATTTTTGGCAACATACAAAGCACGTCCGAAAGCTACACTAATTTGTTGCTGCGATGTTTGAAAGTCCCAGTGACCTAACACTCCACACTCCACAGAGCATCTTGGCACCATAGGAATATTCAATTTTTGTTCTTAGGGAAAATTTCGTGGGAGATGGGTTCTGGCGTGGTGTATCATGGTGGAAAGGATCTTACTGAGATACAGACACAGGTCATTGATTTGCAAACTCTTTCGATGTTCGGGAACATTGGGTTCGAATTCGATTCCTGTTTGAGACAATCAGAAATTTATATTTCAGCATGTGTCTCGCAGACTCCCTTTGAACACCTCGTCTAACATAAAACAGGGATGGCAGGGCCGTACACAAGCGGCACCCCTCCTCCCGTAAAAATGCAACAATTTTTATAACGTTTTTATAATGGCCGTGAGCGAGGGTCAAGTCCCCCCAACCCCAATGTTGGATTCTCGGTAAACTATGTTAGCCCACCTAGTCATGGTCCCTTCTGTGTAAAGTATTAACAAAAAATGGAAGAATAACCTTAACTTGTTCAAAGACCGTTAGTATACTGCAAATTTATATACGTTTATTAGATCTAATAAATTAGGTAGTGGCGTAAATCTTCAGTTATGGGCCCCCGGTTGAAGTAGTTTGGAGGGCCCCTTGCTTATGCATATTCCCCAAAATTTTTTACAATGCTAACCCTACGAATTGAATTTTGGACGAGCATGAGGAACACGAGGTCCAAATATTGCACCAAATTGTGCAACAAAATTTGCGAGAGTATATTATAGCTACTGAATATAACTATTACTACATGAATTCAGTGGCGTGCTGGCAGGGGGGGGCCCGGGGGCCACGCCCCCCCCCCCCAGCTGGCAATTTTTGAGGGGCGCAAAAATGAAAAGGGGGCGCCGATCCCGCGCCGAATTTTGAAAGTGGGTGGGAAGAAACGCATTCGAAAAAATATAGTTACTAATTCCGCCAAGGAAAGATGTGTTTATAGACTTATAAACAGACTAAGCGCATAGGCGACAAAGTGAGTATATTAAATTGCAGACTGTTTTGTCCAACCGTATTTGCTACCTCACGATTCACACGAAATCACTCGTTCATATAGAAACATGATTAGTGATCACACGCAATGTCTCATTACCGGAATATTGATCAGGTTTCGAAGCGAATAAGCGATCACGGGAATTATGCCCTTTTTTGCTGGTATTATGCCCTTTATTATGCTTCACGAATCACGAGAGCGACGCAAATTAGAGAGTTGAAGTTATGATAATGTAAAGTTGTGTACGCAATTTAGTTGTTTGCGCAAGAAACATCATGAGTAATGTAAGTAACGAGATATAATGCTGAAACGCGCCCTTTTGGCAGACAAGCAAGAAAACCTTAAAATGCATGTGCGTGGGGTCTGTGTGTTATTGTATAAAAGAGCTGCAAGTTGTCAATGTATTCAGATCAGTAGAGAATAGAATTGGGATTAGATTAATTGCTGGAAGTAGTTAGCATTGCCCAATTTAAGTACTACTACTAAATTCTAACCAATTTTCAAATTTCGACACGTTGTAATGCCGTTTCCTAACCATCAGATTTCTGTCAAATCTTCCCCCAAAGTCCAGGGAATGGCTTTTCAGAGACTCTAAATTCAAAAATTTTCCTGGGGAGCATGCCCCCGGACTCCCCTAGACAAACCTCGCACCTGTGGCGCTCGGCTCGTGCCTTCGGCCCTCGTTTATCAAGCGTAATATTATAGGGGCGCATATTGGTTGCCAGCCGACTGGCCCCCCCAGAAAAATAGTACCCAGCACGCCACTGCATGAATTATAACACTGTAAACACTGCAAAAAAACCAGCTCCGTTTTCTATTGCTTAAATTAAGCAACAGCAACAGCAACAACAACATAGTTCATAACAATTAATTAATATACTGACAAGGTGTAAGCAAACACAATTTAAATTGCCACCAAATTGCTTTAGTTAATTGACTGTTAAATTTAGTTGATCCGGTCTTTTTTTCTTCAAATATATCAATCGTTTTGCCAATTTCAAACCTTTTTTGCCTCTTCAACTTCAATATAGAATTTACGGCAAGTGCATTAACTTTTTCCTATGCCATTGTGGATCCAAAATAGTTTTTTAGAATATTAAGTTAACTAGTAAATGATCGCCTAGCGGCAGTGGCAACAGCCAAGGGCCCCCTAAGAAGTTTCTTCTCCAGGGCCCCTGGTTTCGGCCAGGTTGGGCCCCTAGTAGTTACGCCACTGAAATTAGGTCTAATAAATGTATGTAAATTTATACTCGAGGACGGTTGACCATCCTCTACCGTACACAATACTCTTTAGGGTGGGCCTGTAAACTCATCGGAGTGAGTCCATAGATATCTTATATACACTAGATAGCGCATCTCTTTTAGTAAAATTGAAGCCAAGAATATTCCAGCGGTTACCCCCATTTGAATAGATGGCGGCCATGTTGGAGTTTCCCACTCGCTAATAAACGCTTAAAAAAACAACAATAACTTTCATCATTTGAATAGTTTGAAAATGTATTTGGAGTAGGTTTACCTTAATATTTAAGTTCCGTGTTTAAGAAATAGAAAACATTCGAGTCTTCTCATTTCATGGGAATATCCTGAGTCTGTAATCACGGCTTCAATTTTTGAATTGCAGAATAATTAGATGCACTATCTAGTGTATATAAGATATCTATGAGTGAGTCGTTAACGCATTCGAAATTCAATTTGTATTCATGTGAGAACAAGCCTGTAGCTGAGGGGGGCCTGAGGGGCAGTGCCCCTATCCAGAAATAAAATTAAAACCACTCCCCCCCCCAAAAAAAAAAACAAAAAAAAACACAAAACGTGTTCTTCCTTATTTTAATTCCTTAGTGGAATTGATCCACTTATTCCATTTCTTTATTCTGTCAGGTATTCAGCAAATTTTTGTGGTCAAATCCTCTACACCCTGAAGTCTTTCCAGGCGGTTAGTGAAAACAATCTTGGTGCTTCTATCACATACGTCTATCATCCCAATTATTGAAGGGATTCGTAGATGGAAATTTCGTGTGAATTTTTGTTCATTTATTAGACCTAACCAACAGGTGGGAAATTTGTCTGAGCATGCGCGAGCAAAATGAGTCACGCAATTGAGTGGAATACACGCAACGCGTGTTTACAAAAAGGCAGAATCGTGTAAATATTGCCAAATGTTTGTACCGAATAAATGACTGTTTTATGTTGAAAATGGACATGATCTAAATTAATCATACAGAATTTTTTAGTGACGTTCCATTTCAGTACCCTGCCATTGTCTCTGGTGGGCTGTCCATGTGCATTCGATCTGAAACAGTTGCTACTTTGCTGTCGAAGAATTTCGAATGTTTACATGAAAATAGAGGCAAGTCATGCATTTTACAACCTCTCAAACTGTATGAGCCCCTATTTTTACGCTTATACCTAAGATATCAAATAAAAGTACATGAAACAGAGAACATTTGTAGAAAGTTTTATCGTGAGGCCACGGCCAGTTTTTAAAATATCTTTATTTCTGTTCCGGTCATCACCAAAATTACACAAAAGCCGGGCTTGAATATACAACAAATTTTGAATCTCATCAAGCACAAAAATACTTAACGTGTAACCAAAATATGCTCGTGAAATCGAAATTAATAGCTAAATTTTCAAACTAGACCCTTCTCGAAGCGGTTTTCATGAAGGAAGTTCACATTTCGGCCTTTGATTCTTGGCAAAAATTTGACCACAACACGTGCGAAGCAACTGGATCTCAAAGACTGAACTAAAACATTGTGAGCCCCTATTTTCCTGACGATATGTTTGATACCTACAAACGCCGAAAAGTTGTTTCTTTTCATTTAGCTATATTTGAAATTGAGGCCACGGGCTATTTTTGAGAAAATACAGTTCAAAGTCAAGCTATTTTTACATATTTTCAAAATTTGTCAAATTTCGCAAGCTTGTATTTTGAACTTAGACAGCTGAAGTTACATTAAGAAACATAGGATGGAAAATTTGAGGCATATAAAGTTAATTTCAACTTACATTTCATTCTCAAATCACGTCTTTCTTCGTTTATTACGGTTTTAAACAAGCCATAGATCGACGTGTACGGTATTTACTCCCATGTTCACGTCGCCATATTAACTTCTTCCAATCACGCGATTACAAAACAATCCTCCCAAAACAAAGAATTCATGATCGACTTTTAAAAGAATAACCAATAATTTGTAAATCGTTGAATGGAAAGCAAAAAATCGTCAGCTAAAACAGCCCCTTGCTAACTTTCTGCTTTGTTTTGAATGTAAATGCAATGAGCTTTGTTTCTGCCCGCAATTTTTTGGTCAGCGACGACAAATTTCCCACCTGTTGACCTAACCAGGATTCCTAAAAATTCCACTCGAATGGACCATTTGCATTATAGACTAAATTTTGATCTAGACAAAAATGTCATCACAGCTTGAAAGAGCATCACAAAATGAGTAATATTCCAAAGTTTCGTTGCGAAATGTTGTAAAATGCGGATAATATAGCCTTGCGAAATTTGCAATTTTCAGTCATTTTGTATTACAAACGGGAAATTAATGCCCCAACACCCGATTGGGCTGTCAATTTCCCGTGCGTAATACAAAATGACTGAAAAAGAGCAAACTTCGCATGACTGTATTATCCGCATTTTACAACATTTCGCAACGAAACTTTGGAATATTACTAATTTTGTGATGCTCTTTCAAGCTGTGATGAAATTTTTGTCTAGATCAAAATTTAGTCTATAATGCAAATGGTCCATTGAGATGCCCAAAATCCTGATATGTACCCATACACCATACATTGGCATCGCCTTAGTATTTATATACGAACTTCTGATTAAAGCAAAGCTCGACAACTTTCTCTCTGTATCTAAGTCAGTTAGAGCGCTGCATTGTAATCGCAGAGCCGCAGGTTCGATTCCTGCATGCCAGAGAGCCTATAGTTGCATTTTTCGCAACGACTCCTGGTTAGGTCCAATAAATGTATAGAATTCACACTCGATATTTCCATCTACAAACCCCTTCAACAATGGACCAATCCCATATTAATCAAAATTTTGATCTCAACAAGTCTAGACAAAATTCCATCACAGCATTAAAGAGCATCACAAAATTAGCAATATCCCAAAGTTTCGTTGCGAAATGTTGTAAAATGCGGATAATATAGCCGTGCGAAGTTTGTAATTTTCAGTCATTTTGTATTACAAACCGGAAATGTTTACCATTTCGGATAATTTCCCGCGCGTAATACAAAATGACTGAAAATTGCAAACTTCGCGAGGCTATATTATCCGCATTTTACAACATTTCGCAACGAAACTTTGGAATATTGCTAATTTTGTGATGAAAGCCGTGATGAAAATTTTGTCTAGACTTGTTGAGATCAAAATTTTGGTTAATGTGGGATTGGTCCATTAGTTCTATCTAGTGAGATGCCCCAAATCCTGCTGTCTAATATCCCAATCTATTACTATAAACATAAATTCCATTTCATTATTTGCTCTGTTTTCAGTGCGCAAGATGGAGGCTGAAGTGATTCAAATGTGTGTTCAGTTGTTTAATGGCGAAGATGATTCTTGTGGAACGGTATGAATTCAACTTTGGTGTAACGTAACGCAGAGTGTGGCGATTTTTTTTTCAGTGAGGGGCGCCTACATGTATATATTTCGCGTGCAGTATAGTGGGGTTCTTAGCCGTGAAATTTGATCGATGATTTTCTGAAGCTGTTATGCATGGTGGCCGTATGGTTTCAAATCTATTTTTATGTGCTTGTGAACGAAAATTGGATTTAGTCAAAGGAACTAGACTGAGTTCCGAGATATGATCCACTCGAACCGACCTGACCTCGTAGGTCAGTTGATAGAGCATTGGACTAGCAAACCAAAGGTCGTGGCCGTTCGATTCCCACCCCGGTCAACCAAATTTTCAGCTTGCAATTGCCCGGTGTGGACTCAGAGACAACATCACAAACATATATCTTCACCTGACTACATAACACCAGAAATAAGAAAATAAATGTGTTTCGTGAATCGTTTGTTTTACGTAAACAGTTTTTTCAGGATTGAATAGGGAATCCTGTTGTTTTCCTTGTCTATTGTTTATCTTGACTGCCTTGCGACCAAGACATCGAGCTTCGAACAGTTCAGCACTGGATTAGGAAATATTTCATATTTCGTGATTGCCTCAACTTCTTCGCAAACTTGAAAGAGTTTCTTCGATTTTTCGCGGCTCGTAAAAAGAATAAATATTTTTACATGAATCCATCTTGTAGAGGGATGTACTGTAGGGGGCCTTCTTTTCTAGATATAGCATCTTGATATATTGTTATCGTTATGTATTCTTAGATGACAGCATCTGGCACAAATAGTCTTCTCATGGCGTGCAAGACATATAGAGATTGGGGCAGAGATGTAAAAGGAATTACTAAACCTGAAATGTAAGCACATATTCCCATATAGTCTTTATACCAGTCCTACAGTCTGACATTTAATCTATGCATTGAATCCACACTCGTGCAGTATTATTTGATTATATATTGTTAAAATTTTCATGAACATTACTTAAGTTCTAAAATTTGTGAAAGGCACTTTGAAATCATACAATAACTTAACTGCATGGACATTTTAATTTATCTAGAGTCGTTGCTGTATCAGCTCATGCCGCTTTTGAAAAGGTTGGTATACAGTATTTCAAATGTAGGGGTCAATATAGTATATATCGGTCGTATTCTACAATAAGCTGCTGTGGTTGGTGTCTGAACTACCTGAAAAATAGATACCTTAAACGTGGGAATTAAGTGTACTGGCCTACTGGGTAGTATTATGCAGTAAACTGCCGATCGTACGTTGTGTTTGAACATTCTGAAAGATACGTGGAGTCCAATGATGTGACTAAACTACCTGAAAAATATATCTGGGACCCAATTTAGGCAGTATTCTACAATAAGCTGCCATGGTTACCGTACCCAAGTGTGGTTGGTGTCCGAACTACCTGAAAAAGATATCTCAAGCGCGGCTATCCAGTATAGGTAGTATTCTACAACAAGCTGCCGTAGTGCCGTGGTGCGTACCTGGACTACCTGAAAAAGATATCTCAAACGTGGGGACTCGATTTGCGTAGTACAGAAATTCCACCACAGAATAAGAAGGTACAGGAGAAGTGTAACTCAAGCAAGTATTTGTCCGCGTTTTTACAAGCGATTCGTCATCAATCACGCCATCCTGGCTAGTACAACCGGCACTTTGCACCTACCAAAACCTGATAAAAACTTCCGGTTGTTACTAGCCAGGATGGCGTGAGCGAGTTAAAATTTTCGTGGACGTAAAACAATAAGGGAACCGACTCGAGTTACACTTCTGCTGCACCTTCTTATTCTTGTGATTCCACACTAAGTTGCTGTGGTTTGCGCCCACACTATCGGAAAAAAGATTTAAAAACACTTTGATGTTTCGAGCGCTTTCGCGAGGAGACCAGTTACACTGCACCCATGCACACGTTTCAGAAATTGTGTTTTATCTATCTATAAATTATTTACAGGCATGCCAAAATAATTTTGTTGCATTCTTTGATTCAAAGGCGGCAGATTACTTTCAAATGAAAATTGTGAAAATTCCTGTGAACGAAAAGAAAAGAAGTGTCAATATCAAAGCAATGAGAAAGGGCATCACAAGAAATACTGTCATGGTATGGGCGTAATGCCTAAATTTCATATGATGTATATCTTATCGCATATGACGTGTATCAAAATCTCATATGACGTCATCAAAATTACATATGACGCAACATCTAAATGTCTTATGACGCGATGTCTGCATCTAATTTGAGATCTAGATCTAGAATTCTAGATCTCATTATTTAATTTTTTTACAGCTAGTTGGTTCAGCACCAGAATTTCCATCAGGGATCATAGACAATATTGAAGAAATTGCCAAAGTGAGTAGAAATACGAAAACAAACCGCAACAGGTTTTCACTAAATTCCTCAAAAGCTTGAGGGTTTAGCTGATTTTTGGCAAGCAGTGGGTCCACAATAAACTTTTTACGTGTTTTGTTATGTTTGTTACGTGCAACGAGTTGACAGGGAAAGGACACGGACGTAAACAGTGGGCAAGGAAATGTGGCTTTATTAAGGTCGTTTTTCACGAGGGACGAACGAACATCTTTTAATAAACATGCGCTGTAGCTGTCCAGCTTGACAGTTTTCAACTTTCGTTTTAGCCCTCACGTACTGCCATGAAAATCCAACTACACGCGCGACTAATTATACACGCGACCATAATGGAAAACGGCCTCTAAGGAACCGGTCATTATTTATGGCGGAGGGTGGCATTCGGTGGTTTTTCTTGGTAAAAATGTTGCTGACCCAACTATTAAAATTTAAGAAGTCAAAAAGAATTTGGCCAACCTCAACGATCAAATAAAAAATAAATACCCATCCCTGGCCAAAAGCTTTACAAAAGGATACCGTTCAGTTATCACACATGTCCTGTACAGCACTACTTCTGTGACATGTGTTTGATAACTGCTTGTGCAATTTTCAGTAGTTTCTTACGTTCTCTGCACATATACTTTATTGGAGACACCATTTGCGTCCTGACAAATCAGAAAATGGTCAAGATAGTGATTCCGATTGATTTATTGATTGATTTACATATTGTATTGACATATGACTGTTGACATTGCTTTTTAGTCTTCAATTTTTGAGTGAATCATGCTTTGAAAATGACAATACACTTTTATTTCCCAACCCTTGGGTTGTTTTGTTTTTCATTTACCGAACCTTTTACTCACACAAAATTTTGTTTACCCAACCTCCCGCCATAAATAATGGCCAGTCATTTCTTGTCACTAAGAACTTTCTTGTGTAGCGCAATTTGCAGTATCTTTGCTTGATGCATATGTAATTTACCTGTAAACATAACGTATCACGTTTCCTGTAATTTTTCTTTCACAGCTTGGTAAAAGATACAACATCGGTGTCCATGTTGATGCTTGTTTAGGAGGCTTTGTGCTGGCATTCATGAAGGCTGCGGGGTTTGTTTTCTCATTTTCTTTAACTTAATAAGCGTTTCTTTTATTGAATGGATGGGAGAAACTTCTCCATTTTCAGTAGAGTTTTTAAACATTAAAATGTCTGGAAAATGAACAATATAATTTTAATGTATGAGGAAATTTCTGCTACTTATTTCATACTTTCCAGACACATTTCCTCAAATTTGCTAAGCTTCTATATACTCTTGGATTCTTCTTGCAGTTTCAACGTACCGGCATACGATTTTTCTGTTGACGGCGTTACGAGTATTTCAGCAGATGCTCACAAGGTAATATAGCTGAAGAAAATGGATATGACAGAGGGATGTGAAAGTTTTAAGACGACGTGAAGTTATAAAAACTGCCGTGGTTTGTGGTGTCTGAATTGCCTGAAAAAGATAAAACATTTCAACGTTTCGAACGAAGGCCCTTCGTCTGGAAATTGTTAATGGCCAATTTGGCTCCAGACCAATTGTTGATGATGATGATAGTGATGATGGTGGTGATAATCATGGTGGTGATGATATTGATGGTCATTGTAAAGATGTTGATTATAATGATAGTGGTATTTTGCATGGTGATGAAGATCATCATCACCATCATAATCACAACGCATGATGATGGGTGTGATTATGATTATGATGATTGTGATGATGATGATTGTGATGATGATTGTGGTGATGCTGATGGTTGTAATATTATGATGGTGATGATACTACGAGTTTATCCACTTTTTTAAATCAAATTCTAGTATGGCTGTGCACCTAAAGGATCATCTGTCATCTTGTATCACTCTCACTCCCTAAGACACTACCAATACCACACAAGCACGGAATGGACAGGCGGTATCTACGCAACTCCAACCATCTCGGGATCGCGACCTGGGGTTCTGATTGCACAATGTTGGGCGAGCATGATGCATCTTGGGAAATCTGGTAAGATTTCAGTTTTCCGCCAAGCACTATCGGTGCAGCGGATGTTTAACTGATAATTATCAGAGTTAGAGAATAATTACTCTTACTTATTAACCGAGGGAAACATATGTTTTAAGGACCCGAGACCGCCAATGGAGACCTTACGATTTTAGGACGGCAACCACGGCGGCGACGGCCAAAACGGTAGTCAAATATATGGTAGTCGATAGTTCGTCGTATATTATCAATCGTATGAATTTAATACAGTTTTAGAAGTGGAAGACATGGGTTTTATGTTTGGGAAGAGTTCTGCTAAACCTGGTTTGAAGTTGCACTTGTTGTGGCTTGGAATGCAGCCGTTGTGTCAAGACGTGAAAATCTGTGATTTGGCGTTGTAAACAGAGCGAGGACAATGTCTAAATTATTCATATATTGTAATTACTCATTTCTTTTCAATGATCTATTGTATTGGTAGCCGTTGCCGTCGCGTTGCCGTCCTAAAATCGTAAGGTCTCTAATGTACTGAAGCAAAGAACGAGAGAAACACTGTTTTCGAACGTCCCAGTCAATAAGTTATTTTTATATACCAATTGTTAAAGAAAGGCAAGCTAACAAATGAAACAAGAAAGCTCCATAGTTTTTGCTCCATAACCAAACGATTTTTTTGTTCTCTGGTGGATAAAAATACTGTTCATCGCTCAGAGCTGTTGGCACGCTTGTTGGCACGCTTGTTGGCACGCTTGTTGGCACGTGATATGTACTCGTAATGAGATGCACGGATGCATGAATTTTGACACTTGGTATAGTGTAATATTGTGTAATTTCGCTGCTCCTTTGAGTGTCAACATCTCTGAGGTTGATCACCATCTGCTTCCCCATAACGCTATTGAAACCCACCAATGGACCATTTGCATTATAGACTAAATTTTGATCTAGCCAAAAATTTCATCACAGCTTGAAAGAGCATCGCAAAATTAGTAATATTCCAAAGTTTCGTTGCGAAATGTTGTAAAATGCGGATAATATAGCCTTGCAAAATTTGCAATTTTCAGTCATTTTGTATTACAAACGGGAAATTGATGCCCCAACACCCGATTGGGCTGTCAATTTCCCGTGCGTGATACAAAATGACTGAAAAACGGCAAACTTCGCAAGGCGATATTATCCGCATTTTACAACATTTCGCAACGAAACTTTGGAATATTACCAATTTTGTGATGCTTTTTCAAGCTGTGATGAAATTTTTGTCTAGATCAAAATTTAGTCTATAATGCAAATGGTCCATTGCGATACTTTCACTTTTGTTCAGGATATATAGAGGCAACTAAACGCATTGTGAAAACGACAAGGTCAATAAGAGATGGGTTGGTATCTTTCAATATTGTTGGATTTTTTTTCAAAATTCTCATATGACTGGAAGGTTGGAATGATTAGTTTAATGCGAGAAATCTGAAACTGTGATTGTTAAAAGCCCACTCGAACCTGTGACACTATGCAACCACGTGGTCCCGGAAGGGAGGGGCGCTAAACAATAATGTTGGGTAATGTTGGACCAACATGTTGGATCGACTAGTTAGAACGGGCCTCATTGTGAAATTGACCCAACTAATTAACAAATAGATACGATTTTGCCGTTGTCTGTTCAGTTCTAGATACACAGAATGATGTCATAATGTGGATACAGATACACTGTATGACGTCATAAAATTCTTCCTGCATTATGATGTGATACTGTGTATCTATAACTGAACAGACTACGGCAAAATCTTATTTATTTGTTTTATATAATAAAAAGAAAACCCCGAATTAAACAGGTCAATAGCTGACTTTTTATGCACCCCAACATTTGGAAATTTGAAGAAGTCGAAATTTTACAAATATTACGCATACATGATCTTGTGTGAGGAATTTGTGTGACGTAATTCCGTGCGTTTGTCCTCTAATAGATCATGACTGTCGACCAATGAAAGCGCTTGAATTCTTAAAGTTATTATATAAATTGTCCTAGACTACGGCAAAGCAAAGGCGTGTTCGTATTTGGTGACCCAGAGGTGTGCGTGGTGGCTTTCGGATCTAAAGAGTTCGACATATTCGCGTTAGGAGATGAACTCGCCGCTCGAGATTGGAAATTAAACGCTTTGCAGTTTCCTTCCAGGTTTGTCAACATATATATACTTATACAAGCTATAGTAACTTTTTGTAACCATGAATTCTTCTGTCTCATGGTGTAGTATACTCAGGTGAATATGATGCTAGTGATGTTACTCTGAGTGTATATCCACATCGGGCAAGCTTAGAAAATATGCCTGGCCACGGTGGGAATCGAACCTACGACCTTTGGATACTATAGCCCAATGCTCTACTGACTGAGCTAGCGGTCAGGTCTTACCACCTTTGGATACTAGCCCAATGCTCTGCCAACTGAGCTACGTGGTCAGGTCGGTTCGAGTATACGATATTTCGGAACAGAATCTAGTTCCCTCGATATCCATGTAATCTAGTAATCATGAATTTTTCTGTGTTGGTGTTGTGTACTCAGGTGAATATGATGCTTGTGATGTTACTCTGAGTGTATATCCACACCGGGCAAGCTTGAAAAATATGCCTGGCCACGGTGGGAATCGAACCTACGACCTTTGGAATACTAGCCCAACGCTCTGCCAATTGAGCTATGCGGTTTTTGTAACCAATTGTACTTAAAGAGAACGTTTATTAAATGAATGCATGAATGAACATCTTGGCTTCACTTTTCTGATAGGCCGAATGAGTGAAGTTCTTGCTCCAGTTATATATAGAGCTCAGCGAGTTAGCCATATAAAACTACTCCTATTCAACGAAATGACAATTATTATTAACCAGGAAAATGTTAGCCTACGGTCATAAAAAAATTTATATTCTTAAACGAAAATGCTCTTAAAACTGTATATATTGAAGATATTTGTTCCCATGCTTAGTTCTTGAGATTTTTCATTTTGTTTGTAACCATGTGACGTCATTTACTTAATTACATATATAATGAGATATCAGTATATGTTGTGTATATTTGCTATTTTTATCAAAATCTTTTCAAAGACGCGGCACGTTTGTTAATTTAACCTACATTATTAAGCATACTGTCTTTTTTAACAAATTCATCAAAAATAGCAAAGATACTGACTCTTCCAAGTCCCTCATCCGTGATTTTTTACGCATTCCCATTAAGCCCCGTGCTCCCATTGTTTTTCCACTGATCTCTATTCCCAACTGAAGCGACGAGGGACGAGGCAGGCAAAGATACACAACTATTACTGATATCTCATTATAGATGTAATTGAGTAAATGACGTCACATGCATGGTTACAAACAAAATGAAATATCTCAAGAACTAAGCATGAGAACAAAAATATTCAAAACAAGTTACTATACAGTTTTAAGACAGTTTTCGTTTGAGAAAATAAAAATTTGATGACAGTGCCACTTTAACCAGAATATTTTTAGATGCTTAGTGAAATCACACCTGTAGAAATAAACCATGTGTCTATATCTATGTGTGTCTCATTCTGTGCCTTTGTGTACGATGTATCTGTCCATATATTTGTTTATCCATCTCTTATATTTGCTCTCTATTCCAAGAATATCATAAATTCATCTCTCCTACAGCCTACATATCTGTGTTACTCTACCGATGGCAAAATCAGGGGTTGCTGAAAAGTTCCTTCGAGACGTCCGAGAATGTAGCAATAAAATTCTAAGAAGTCCAAACTGGCAGACTACTGGCGTGGTAAGTTGATTTTTCAACATTTCACGAAATTTCTATAACTAAAACTTGGACATAATCCTTGAGGCCATTCCAGCCAATATTGCAAAGTTAGTGTACATTGACAAAAGAAATTTCTTCACCCCCTCTCCCAGTTCAATGTTGTAAACGACGCCGAAATAAACTTTTGGTAATTTACTACGACACAAACTCAACATTGAGTTGGTAAAACCATATTTTACGTTCAGAGATGTGTACAAACATTGTGTAATAGGTCAAGGTTATGGTGGGGTCCTGGGGTTAGGGTATATATTTCGTGTAGTGCTACATAAAGTACATGCCGAAAATTGAGAATATACATTAATATCACACTGTTTATGAGTTAGAATCAGCGGTTAGGGCGAAACATGAATCTACAACCAAAATTGAAATATTTGCGTTTTATACAGTGCTGTGGGACAAAATTCACTATATAAGTTTGACATATATTTAGAACTTATCCGATTAAAGTCAACTACATGATTATTGCAATGAACTGCGCATGTTTCAGTGTGTTTGTGAATTATGATTGTACGACTCATATCCAATTTTGCCCTTCATTACATTACTATAGACTTACCACAAGTCGACGTACTTCTCTAATTTGACTTCTTTACCATAATTATCAAATGCGAGCGATGAAGGGTCTAGTGCGAGAGGAGGCGAGCGACGACCCTCGATAAAGAAAAAGAACTTTGCGAAAGTCTACATTTCTACAAAGTTTCTTTCGAGAGATTGCAATAAAAGGGTACTCGACGTAATATTTCAAATCCGACTATAGTAGACTGGACTAGAATCAAACTCGTTCTGGGGACGAGGTTGGACTATAGAGTCCAAATTGGAGGATTTGAAATGACATCTCATACGAATAAATCACCACTCAAAGTGAGGTGAATTAATTTTGATCCACTCCAAGACTGAATTAATTTTGATCCAGTCTAGGACAGGATAAATATGCTTCACCTGGTATACAGTATTCTCTTGTGAGCAAAAAAGAAATTGCCTAATTTACTCATGAATTATTAGTGAATTTGAGATACAGAGATGAATGCCAATCAGTTTTTCAATTTTACAGACAAAGTTTCTTGCAAAGTGTAGACCCATGAGCAACACATAAAAATTTATCAAATTTTCACTTTGATCTCTCTTATAACCTTTCCCATAGGGATGTGCATGGCATGGGGAGCGGGGCGCACCTCAAATACACAGAGCCTAAAATAAGTATAGGTTATTTTGAGGCAACGAGGGGATATGATTTATTCACCGAGGGGCCCAGCGCCGAGGTGAATAAACACATGCATATCCCCGAGGTGCCTCAAAATAATATAACGTACTTATTTTTCACATTGCGAGGTCGCGCTAATGAGTCAGAATAGAAATAATTCTTAATGCCATATTGCCTTCGTGATGTTGTTTTTTCTCATTTTTTGTGCTGCAAAGACATTGCAGGTGAATATTAGAGGGGATTATTAGAGGGAAATTGATTAGAGGGGAATATTGAATATATTCCCCGATAAGAACAAAGGAAACCGAGCAGGGTGAAAAATAACGTGTTTTAATTCTGGTCGCTGTAATTATGTGACATCATCGTGAAAGGTGCCTTTTAAATCCTTTACGTATAATTATTTTGTAGGGTGCAATTTACGGTATGGCTCAAAAGATACCTGACAGATCTATGGTTAGAGAGTTGGCAAATCATCATTTAGATTGCATGTATTCAACCAAAATCCACTCATCTGAAAATGGTATATAACTACACAACAATTAGAACTTTAAACAACACAATCACTTTTGTTCAATCACACATTACAAAATTCACAATGTAAATAATGAATGGTTATTATGTTTATTTAATATGAAGGAGTATTATGCAGTTGATGTTGTGTTTGATATTGAACACTAAATAGAAATTTAAAAAGTAACAATAATAGACTCACTGCATGGCATTGCAGTTGAGCTATACCTATACCCTGGTTCCAGAGGCTCTTAAAGAACGGCGAGGCGAAATAAATGCGACGCGAAGAGCCTCTGGTCAAATCGATTGCAAATCTCACTTCCATACTTCGCGTTCTTTTAATAAGAGCCTCTGGAACTAGGATAAGCTATACCGCGACTCGCAAAAATGGCGGCACAAAAATTACAAGAGTTTTGCGAACCAGAAAACAGCGCAAATTGATCGCTTTGAAAGGGAAAAAGACACAGCAATAAAACTCCCAAAAACTTTGACAGGCTAGCAAATACATTTAGTGTATAGAAACTGATTTAAATACCAGTTCTTCAAAGAAACAATACGATCGAAAGAGCAGCGAAAAAAACATGTTAAAAACGAGAGAATATAAATTGTTCAGAAAAAGTCGTAAGGAAAAGCCGCGAATACACTTGCAGTCAACAAGCACTTGTCGTTATACTTTATTAAAAACATCTATGTGTAATATCAGCTTATCTGGGCATAATAATATCACTTTATACAGGACTAGAGCTCATGATACAATATTACTATAATTATGGACAAAATAATATTTTAATATTTAATAATAAATACAGCGTACAACTAATAATAAATACAGCGTACAGTTATACGGATTACGGAAACAATAAAATGTATACTATAGGTACACTAAAATAGACAGACAAACATATATCAATATATTGGACAAAAAACATAAAAGGTAGTTCTATACACAGAGATTTGTTTTGCCGATCTCAATGACAAATGATAAAACACCCGCCGAAGACATCATCCCGCGACATCCAGTAGACGTAGTGAAATCGGCCAAACAAATCTCAGTGACGTGAGTGACCCAATGCATGGCAATACGTCTCCCCACTCTCTCCTCCCAAGAGGCGTTTTTACGGCTTTTATACGTTTTACACGCGGGCTGGGAAAAACGGTTTTAAAACTGTTTTTTGGACGTTAAATGAGTTCAATAGAAACACCCCGAGACCGTATGCCATGCGGTCACAATCTATCATCTAATCTACTTCATGTAGATCTATCTATAATAGATCCACACCACAGCAAGTGTGAACAAGAGGCAAGCTGTACCACAGTTTAGGGTAATCTTCTCCTTTCGTGTCTGATGTAACACGTCTTCAGCGCCCGCGCTATCGGTCAGCCGTCCATTCTCAATCGTGGAGACATTCTCCCCGTCTCCATTTGCTGTTACCCATAATACTTTGCTGTTGCTTTCTTTTGGCATCATGCTGTCCGTCTCTTGACGAGGCGACAGTTCATGCTCATCTGAAACGGATAGACATATAACGAAAATCAGAAAATACAGGGTGTATAAAAAAAGGTAATCCAAAATTAGTGTGCTCTTGTGTACTCAATATTACGTTTCACATGCAGATTCAATGTTTCCATATGAATAAAAATTAGGATTTTAGCTATCGAATGATACCTTTCTTGTATCATTCCGAGGACATTGGACCAATTCATAGCCTTTCTCACGAAGGCCAAATTCGCCATTTTTGGGGAACATTTTTGAGAACGACGCGAAAAATCCAAGCGATATGAAAACATTTTTTCAAATATTTAACTGTAAATTAACTTATAATGATTATACTCACAATTATAGTTATACAAATCCCTTATTCACTGCGTACAATCTCAGATTTGGAAAAGGCAGTACCCCAAAAATGGCGGCGTGAGAAAGGCTAATTGCGAGCCGATTAAAAATTGTCAGAATCGCATTTTCCCACTTTTGTGCATAATTAGGCAATACGTAACAAAACAAAAAAAATAATTCAATGAACTCGATATTTAACGCATGCGAACATGCTAAAGTTCGATTGTCTTCTTTTTATTAATGCACCCTGTACTGCTTAATTATGCACAAAAGTGGGAAAATGTGGTTTTGACCGGCACCGAAAAGAAATGTTTTTCTTTGTAAAAATTTTGCTGATCCGACTTTTACAAAGTCAAAAAACTTTTTACCCAACCTCAGATATCATTTAAAAATAAACATCCGCCCCTGGACAAAACCTTTAGCCGTTTAGATACCATTTAGTCATCACACATGTTCTTTTACCACTTCTGTGACATGAGTTTGATAACTGCTTGCGCAAATTTATGCAGTCTAAAGTTTCATGTTGTTTCGTTGGAGACACCATTTGCCTCATGACAAATCGGAAAATGGTTATGATAGTGACTTTGATTGATTGATTGATTGATTGATTGATTGATTGATTGATTGATTGATATATTGTATTGACATATGACTGTTACATGACAATGCTTTTTAGTCTTCAATATTTGAGCGAGTCATGCTTTGGAGATGGCATAACTGTATTTTAGCTCAATGATTGGAAATGTAATCGGGCCAAATATTGTTTATCAGTTCCAACGTGGTTATAAGACCGTGGAAATGACGTCGATAACGTTATAGTTACTTTGAACAAGAACGACGAATTAATGGCATTCCCGAAATGGCGAAATTCGTTAAAACCAATCAATGAATCGAAATATTTTAGTACCGGATTCATGTTGCCCGATTTGCACATGCAGCTAATCCGACAGGAAATCATCATCGTTTGGAGCCGTATGGGGGAACTTTGAATCCGGAAAAAATAGAGATTTTGTCGCTAGAAACATATGAATCCCAAACAAATCGAGTTGTAAATGGTTACCTCAATGAATCTGCAACCTTTTCTGGCGACTATAAGCATTTCTCTCTCAAGCTTGTTTATACAGCCAATTCATTCGTTTAAACTCTAAATCTAAGGGCGCAAAACTTAATGGTAGCACAAGTTTCAAGCTTAGTAGTTGAATATTTAGTTTGCGATAGCAGACTGATCTCAGCCGACCCCCCCTGTAGCGGCGGAGAAACAGTCTGCGATTAATCAACACTAATGCCGTACAGTTGCCCCCGCACAACGTGGGCCGGAATATGATTGGAATATGATTGAAATTTTCCTTTGTGATCACGCCGAAAATTGCATAAATTACATTGGTATGTATAATAATTCATAGTTGCTTTGCGTCCGCCATCTTGGACTTGACATTTTTTAATAATTTTAAATTAATTAAGCAAAATACTGCTTACGTAACTGTACGCAGGGACGACGCGAAGCCATAAACATTGGGGG